AAAACAATTCATAAAATCTAGTTTTCTCATACAATAATGCATGATTTATATCACAATATCTCAGATAATCCCCGCCGGTGCAGAATGGGGGCAGCTCCTTAAGATTTTTTTTTGGTTGAGACATTTTTTCGAAAAATTCATATTCGATAACATTATATATTCTCAACTGAACTAGAACATCATGTTCACAGGAAATCGACATGATAAATATTTTTCGGAATAAACAGTTTTTATCGCCTCCTGGAAAATAACTCAAAATGGTGCTGCTCCTCTTTTGCACAATTGTTCTCAATTTCATCTACAGATTGAATTATTCGTATGTTTCGATCAGATTTTTTTCCAAAATTGATCACACTTCAATACATTGGGAATAGTGTGTCAATAGAACTACACTACCGAACATCAAATTTTCAAAGCATAAAATGTGCTAAGGCATAATAATAGATACTTCGAGTTTTCAATCAGTTTGTGAAATTCAAAACGAAGAGATATTTCTGTCTGAAATTATTTAGTCGAACATCAATTTCTTTCAAATTCTAGATACAATGATTTGATATTAAATAGTGCTTTGTTTATCACATTCGAGAACCAAGCGATTTCTCCCATGTATCTTTTTAATGATTTCAGAAATATAACCTCATTCCGAACGTTTTTCATCATATCCTGAACAAATTTTTTTCATTCGCAAACTGAGGTTCCATATCTGATAATATATATAATTTCTTCCCGTTCCTATTAGTATTGGTCTTCTCTGACCGCCCAGGATCTGTATGAAATCCCAACTGAAAAATAACATCCATTCATTATTAATACAAAGGTAGCTATGAAAGCTGAAGAGAGGAAAATCACTCATGATTTCTAGAGAAAAGCATAACTGCAAATTCCCTAATGGGAGGCCAGTAGCCATAATAAATTGAATTGAAATACCTCTTGTTGCAAGGCGGAAATGAAAACACTTTATCCAAGTTCTTTGAATGGAAAATGTAAATGTTATGTTGATTCATGAGTCTGGAACAGATAGAGAGCCATTTCATCTTGGTGATATCTTGATGAAAACACGAGAGAATTATATAGTTATGAATCTTCTCAATTGTATATTAAAGCTGGCGAGCCGAATGGAAGATTTAATTATTGATTACCTACCTTTTATAAGAATTGAGAGAATCAATGAATGAACAGAAAACTCTCTTCGGATGATGCAATGAGTAGGCTGCAAATCTCTTATTATGAATAAAACTCTTTGTTTAATATAACATGATCAGAATTAACGATTCAAATCAAGTCCTGGTCCTGAAGGTGTTGAATTGATCCACATATGAGTCGAAGGAATGAGCTATAAAACAAGTTCAAGAAGTTCCGAAATAACATTGGTTACGATGTATTCATACTAACACAGTTTTCATCTTGTTTTCACCATACATTTCAAATCTGATTGAGATATTTCCGCACCTCATTTGATAATCAATAGTACTGCTGGAGAAATTGAATTTCGCCAAATGTGTTAGGACTTCATCTTCTACCTATTATATTTCATGCCTTTGGAATTGATGTGCATGACCTCCTAGGTCTTGGAACTTCATTTTTCTCTCGTGTTTTTGTTATGGACCGTTATTGTGGAAATGATCAGGAGATGAAACAGATTTCTCATGAACCATCCATTCTGATTCTGTCAGAAACCCAGATTGTCTTACTGAAAGAACGAAGTTGTTGCTGAAGAGTTTATCATTCATCCGGCGATACCCCTCCCCCCCCTCCTACTTTCAGATGAATTGACCAATTCAATATTTGGATTCAACTAATCAACAATCTACAGAAGTCAGCCCGTGTATAAGAATGATAGTTAATTTCGATATGCGTAGGTTTAGACGTTTCCCGATATTACTAGGCCATCATGTATAGAATGTGAATTCTATTATTGAAAAGCATCAGAACATGGATTGTTTCATCATCGGAATGGATGAGAAAGAACGATATTCTGCATAATACAAGACATATATCACCGACCATCCATTTGATTTCCCAATATCGAAGTCAAATCGTTGAAATGGTAAGGCGCGGACAAACATTAATGCTGACGATGGACATCGTGGCCAGTAGGCTTCATGAGGATATACGAAACTGTGATGTCTGTTATGAGATTCTAAATAAGTATGACAATGAAGGACTATTCAGAAATTTTTGTTATTGCCTACGAGAAAGTGGGCATGGTGGGATTAATCATTGTGGAAAGTGAGCATTGTGATGGGAGTAGGATATCATACTATATGAATCAATGTTATTTCCTAATACTTCATTCCATAGTCTCCACAATACGACCCGATACTTTTTTCTAGATCCATACATATTGTTTATACTCAGAAAATATCACAAAACATTTCGAATTTTTTCAACTCTTGGAATAGACGAATAACATAATATCTGATATGCTTTAACAGCCCCATTTGAGAGTTGATGCGATACTTTTCTCCTGACCAATGATAAATCAATCAATGTAATAGTCAAGAAAAGTTAATTTCACTAGGGTGGGAAGTGAGCTTCAATATGGGCGAGCTATATACAGGGTGACATTCTGAAAACTTCTCACCTTTCAGTGAAAAAGAGTCAAAAAACAAAACTTACTGGCAATACCCTTCATATTATTTTCTGGTATATGAAATGTTCAATGGAAACCAATAGTATGCGCTCTCAGGACACGGGGCCCTTCATTTATTAAAAACCCGTTATTTCAGTACCTTTGGAATTCTTGGCTATGGGCATTGACAATTAAAGAAATAGTAGCATCAAAAATTTTTTCAACCCCAAGAAAGTCTACCACAAAATAGGTGATCCTTTCTCACAAATATCATTTTTTTTTGTATTGTAGACCTTTCAATTAGGCTGAAGATGGTCTTTCATGAAACCGAAACATGTTCTTTATGATTATGTAACAATATCATTGAAATTTGTGGAGATGACCTCGAGCATTCCTTCCTACCTATGAAATAATAATAAAAATCGAGAAGAGAGGATATTTTTAGCCCTCTTGATTCAACCCCCTCAAGTGGCACATCATTTTGAAGGGCGTTCAATTTTCTTTACAACGGTACCCTAGTTCATTCAGATGGACCATTGCGTTGGCAGTAAATACTTTTCACGAGTAAATCGTATATCGGAGGGTGTGAAATTCTTTTTCGGAACCACCCCCCTGAAGGGACATCAGGCATTTTCTCCAAGCTAACTCTATTCCTTTGTGGATGAAATCTGCCGGCAGAAACTCCTTGTTCTCTTCGACGAGGTGTTCATTCTTCTGGAAGACAGCTATCTTTTCCATTTTTCCTTGCCAGAAGAGGGCAGAGGTAGTGGCACAGACAAAAAATGCATTGAGTAACATTTCAAATCCGCTATGCAGTGTGACAAGCTTCCTCGATTGAATATCGTAGAATTGAACTGTTCACAACCAGCATCACCGCTACCAGTTTGCTGGTGAAACAAGCTGTCAACGTTGGAGCTCCACCAGTAGATAACCGTTTTATATGATTTTGTTTTCTCCAGGAGTGTCTGCACAATCAAGCAGCTAGCATCTTCTGCTGCATGTTTGTGAATTTGTAATACGTAAATTGTGAATTTGTGTATCACCATCTGGAAGTTGAGAACCCATTTTTCAGAAGTCGAAACTTATGCGGGGCTTGTTGGTAAATTCCTCATTCTCAATCTCGATGTGACGAAATTTGATCAGGCGCCGCTTGGTTCTTTCATTGGGACTGAGTTTGTGTTGACAGTTTGATGAGTGTGGACTACTCGAGGATAATATCGCTACAAAAAGACGTAGTCTTTCAACAGCTTTGGGGCTATGTGCAACCCCAGTCTATGGATACTCGTCAAAAACAACAGCCATTCTTTTTCCATATTGTACAAACATAAACTTCTATCAGAGAGTCGAGTTAATGCTGCGTGAAAGTGCATTTTATACCTCGCAAATACACCAACGATAGGTGAGGCCTATGTTATTGCATTCATTTCAGTATGAGTCAGTTCATTTATCAATAAACATCCACGGCTACTGAATATTTTATTTACTCAGACTTCGATCTGTCCATAGACCTCTATGGATCTGTCCCTCTCCCGATTTCAACACTACGGGTAGTTACCCTAACAATAATTTATCGAATGTTCTTCATTCTTTAGGTCTATCGTCAGTGGTCTATGATGAGATAAATATTCATTCGCAAAAATTCCACTGTATATGAAAGAGTTCAAAATTTTTTCGTGGGATAATAAGGATAGCCCGTCACCTGATGATGTTTCGAACAATATTCGGTAGTTACTGGTTTGTTCAAGTTAGCATGGGTCATTTTGAGCAAAACATTGATTTGGTTCTCATTTTACTACTCTCAATTCGAGATTGTCCTTCAATTGGTAATCTGATCAACGCATCACGATAAAAAATGTGCCGATTTAGTAGATGAAAACAACAGAATTGGTGGGCATTTCTTCTGAGAATTAGTACGCGAATGAATTTTCAACTTTTTTGTTTTTAGTCAAGGATATACTGTCGATTGTAGTCAAATACCTCATCAAATTTCGATCAATTCGAAGAGACGATGCAAGACGATGCAATGTATTGGCAATAAAAATATGAAATGGGCTTCAGAACGATGTGTTGTAAGTAGGGTTATGAGTAGGGTTTCGAAGTTTAAGTTTCGACTGAGAAAGCAATTACATATCAATTCCCTGTATCATATTCACACAAGCTCCTCAATCATATTTTTTGATGGCTTACCATGTGTATAAGACGATGCAATGTATCGGCAATAGAAATATGGAATGGGCTTGAGGACGATGTGATGTAAGTATGTTTATGAAAAGGATTCTGAAGTTAGGATTTTGACTGGGGAAACAATTTCATATCAACTTCTCATATCATATTCATCCAAACTACTCAATCATGACTTCTTATGGGTTACCATGTTTATAAGACGAATGTTACTAATTATGTTGTTCTTTGTTATCTATATACATACGTTGCTACACAATGCGCCGCAGTAACAATCCACCTCTCGTTCAATAGTGCTCCTCCACAAGCCAGTTTTTTGGTGAGAAATCCAGTCTTTATCAGCGCTACTTGCCATGGATGCGAGCCAAATCCGGTTGAGTGACCTCCAACTATCCTATTGGTTCTAGTATGCAGTTCTCCGCAACCTAAAAATCAATTCCAGTGATCAGATATGCTGAAGAGATGTCGGATATCTATAGTGCAGAATGCAGTAGATGAAATACAGCTTTTCGTATTCGATCCCAATCGAAATCAGCCACCTATTACTTGACTAGAGATGAAAGAGAGAAGAATGAGGAATGTGTCATCACGCAATAGTGTGCTATTTATTATGAATATGGGGGTGAAAATCATTGCGTACATGGAACATACGTTTGCTGGCAAACTGTTGGTTGGTGTGCAATAACATCTATTGGGGCCCTCTTTCTAGTCTAAAAACTAGAATGTGGCGCACGCAAACTCTTCTGCTGAAGGTTTATTCTTGAGTTCAATTGAATACGAATTTGATTCAGTTCACTACACCTTATGCTAGGAACGTAAGTTCGTCTTTTTCATCCATATAGGAGCCATTAGGGAATAGACCCCCTAGTTCAAGATCGTATGCATTCAAGGTACGCTTTGCTTGAAATTATCATTCGTTTGTTTTAAAATATATGCATGATTGTTATGAACTTTGGGAAGCTGGATTTCAGGAATTTTTTTCGACTCATTCAAATATCCAAATTACGCTACACCTGCCGAGGAAGATGCAGAGTGAATCCACACGTCAATTAAAATTGTGTCGCGAACTGATATGTTTTCTGGTTTGAGGTCAAAAGCCTATGAATTGAATATTGGGTTCTTCAACAGGTATGAGCTTCATTGGAACAAATATAAACAAAATCTTGATATGAAAAGTTGGTTTGAGGAATTTGTTTTTAATCCATTCTGACAGGTGAACATGAAACATTAAATTGGATCGATAATGAATACTTCGATTTCTGATTGGTTTCACTTACTTGTAGGGTCTGGAATCAATATTCGTTTTTATGTCCTGCCGATAATGCAAATTCAAAAAGACTTTGCACTTTCAGCTCGCCATCAAAACGAAATTGTTTTTTCTTTTTGCGATATCAGACCCTATATAGGTACATGGGTTTCAAAAATATGCTGTTCCTGTCTCTATTCAATACTGATGCTATTCATTGAGTTGACCTACTCCAGGTACATGATCAATTACACCTTCCATATTATATAATCGCCTCGAAATGTTTGACTAGTATAAAAATGTGCTCATTTATGAGATGTTCCATCAGTAAGCTGAAAGTGCAAATGAAAATACGAACAACATGAAATATTCATGATACCAATCCTAAGAAGCTGAAGTGAGTTCAGAGTGAGGAGCAGTGTTAATAATGTTAATTTTACCCCTGTAGTTGTGTGGCTCATGAAAAGTAAGCGGTTCATCCTCCTCTTCGTAATCAAAATCGTCTTGTTGATCGCTCTGATGGAAAGTTGGCCTTGGTCTATTCGCAGGTTTATCCAGAGGCCTATATGGTGGTCTGTCCACGATGTTCAAACTGATATCTTCTTCGTTGTCCGTGGGGTAGTAGCTAACTAGATTGTATGTGTCTGGTATGTATTACGTTGATAAGGTTATCATTGCTAGTACGATTGACATCTTATAAATGAAAATATGATAACATTTTTATTAATTTGTTAGTGATACATTGATCATTGACAATTGAAATGCTGAAGAACTGAAGTTGTTGAGGTATACCATATGTGTTGAATGATATTGGGTGAAACCACAGATAATGTGATTTATATATGATTCAAATATATCTCCTCATACAGAGTGAGTCAATAGTGCGAGATGGGTTTTTGGCGCACCTTGATGAGAAGAAATCCGATTCAAAAGAGCGTTCAACCACTAACGCGTAGATCGACGTTCGACCATCCTATAATCTAATCAGATATGATTTCCCAAAATTATACGATCAAGTTTATTATCTAGATGGAATATCTAGTATATCAGTACACTTCCTATTGAAACCACTTTCAAGGCCTCTGATATTCCAGATTACCATATCATCCAAACAATTTGAATGTGATCAAATGTTCTGTTGACATAAAATGCAATTTGCAGATGAATGGTAGAAATAATCTTTGTCGTGACAATTTCGGACCTACAGAGTGCACTATCAACTACAGTTAGGATACATAGATTCAGATTGTTTTTCACTTCTTCGAAACATGCAAGGTACTCGAAAATTATTATTCATTCTGGAGCGTGTGATGTCTACTAATGTTTGAATGAAAAATCCTGGATGTTCCGCTATGGAAATGTAGAATCGAAGAGAAAAACAATGTTTGTGAATTCATCTTCCTGGCTTTTTGCTATCAATTTTGATCAACCGAACTCTGAACATGAAATTATGTTGTTTATTAATTTTGATCATATGAGCCAAGTGAGAATAAAAAATGTTTTAGGGACCTGATATTTCGATAGAATTTCTCATTCATCTGGACCGATCGTTCGCTCAAGTCGAAGTCAGAACTGCTGAGAGTATCCATAACATTGTTGAGTTGAACAAAATACAATCAGTTCACTTTGGTAACACAAAATGATGAAAATAAATGAATTATTGTAGCACGATTCTATTATGGTAGAAATCTTCTTTCTTGAAGTAATATTCAGTATCAATGGAATGTGTTCACGTGATATCATGAGGTTGAATGAAATATGATTAGACAACTAAAATTGGATGGAATAAGAGAATATAAGTCAATAATAGCTCAATCTCTCAGTTTCTTACTGATTCATTCAGCTGAAGATGGTAGACATATATTTCCTTACGAAAAATCTATTAACTCATAGAATGAATTCAACATCTTTTGTTGAGAATATGAATGTCATTCACCGATAAACCCTAGTTAATTTTCACGGTAATTTCATCTATTCGTTATGGTAACCAAACAAAATACAGACTTCTCATTGTTCGAAAATGTTAGGAGTAGAATTTTGTAAAATCTATTGTTCTCTACGAAAAAAAGGTCGTATAATTCATCTCCTCATCATATCAGAAGCACCTCCAATTCTTGAAATGTTTGCACTGAATCTCCCACGCAGCAATGTCACGAATGTTTTAGTTGAATGAAAATTATATCGAGCCGAGGACGAGAAAAATATGATTATAAGTCAATATTTCATTTGGGAAATGGACAAAATGCAATCCTGGAAGTTCAACATCAGAAAAATAATTATATCTACATATCTACCAGGTATGAAATGAGTCAAGAATAATATACCTTCAGATCTTATGTAATTGTGTTGATCTCGTTTTTTGTTGAATTTCTCTCTCATGCCTGCAGTGTTCATTCCAATATGCTTGATATTCTTTCAACAACGAAATCATCGTTCGTCAAGTGGATGAGAGATGATATCATAGGAGGAAAAGAGCAGAATTATTGTAATATACTTCTCGAAAATAAAGATATATACATGTATTATGAAAATCTACTGTTATACATGGATTCCATTTCGAATGAGACTTAGTCGAGTCAGGAAACATTGCATGAACTTCGGCTTCTTTTCGAATCTGAAAAATCTCGAGATGGATATAATGCCTGCTATTGATGTATAGAAACCATGGGAGAGTTTGCTGTAGACTACCAAATGAATAAAAAATAAACTCTCGAGGAAAGTACATAAGTCAATTTTGAATCCGGCAGTCATCTTCTGATATTGACACATTGTTTTGTGCGAGGGCCATCGGAATATAGTTTCACTATACAATGTTGGTAACTGGAGCAACTCATCATCATTTGAAATTCGGCAAGAAATAATCATACAATAATGAGAGAATGCATTCGTGGAAACTAATAATTGGCTAATTTTTTTGTAACATTGTTTATTTTCTAGACGATGATGTAATCGCCATTATTACCTCAAAATAAAAAGTAAAAACCCGTGAAACTATTTGAGAAAGAAGACGATTTGAATTTCATCATTAAGGTTTAGCAGAAGGAAGGCTCAAGAAATTAAACATGATTCTACACTCAAATGTAATATCTACATCTCATATGGATTTCACTCTTGTTGATAGAACAAAGAATATACAAAATCTCTATTCGAAGAATTACAGTAACTTGTGAATCGATTACTGTACAGGAAGTGAATTAAAAATTTTTCCATCCTCATAATATCACCCTGCAGGAATCAAACTCTGATAGGAAGGTCGGGCTCTTAGAGAATATACCACCGTTCTTCAAGAAGAAGTTTGCGCCATCCTGTCCGAGATAGCAAACAAATCAGCAAGAACAGGGCCCACGACGGCATTTTGGGGTCCAAAACCTGACAAAGGTAAAGCAAGGAGTAGAGTTTCATTTGCCCTCAATGAATAGGTGAACGCAGCGATGCGTGAAAACTAGAGGAACATCACCAGCTACAGGCAGTTCAAATACTGGACAGAGACTGTCAAGTACTGCGCGATCTTATGGGTGTGCTCACAGGACATTACCGGCTAGATAGACACCTATCGCTAATACGTAGGGAATAATCCCAGTTGACGAAAGTCTAGAAAGGACGTAGAAGGAACGTCATTCCACTACCTGGGTCAGTGAGAGGCGTACGGAAGGCTAAGATTCGAAATCTTTGGTGCTGATACGCTTCATCGCGAAGATTCAATCAGGAATTCAATCAACCTCAAATGAACGGACATAGTGACCATCATCAGAAGGTAAGGAAGGTTCAAAGGGGAGAATCAGGGAAATAAAGAGAATATATTTGTGCGACAGGGGTCAGCAAGAAAGGCCCATGGACGCCTACTTGCTAGGCAACCGCCTTCATTCGTTCTTACTACTGCTACTACTATTACTACTACAACTACTGTGAATCGATGACTGCACAGGGTGTCACATGGGAAACTTTCCACCCTCAATATCATTATTTTTTGATATGAGACATCCAGAAGACAATTTAATTCCCAAGAAGAACCGTTTGAATGAATAGTTCTTATCCCCAAGTTTCTACCTCCTAGGATGTCAACCTTAAAATTCCAAATGGGAAGGGTGGTCAAATGATACAATTCTTTTCCTGAAGGTACCTCATTCCATCAGTTTCGATAAGTTCTTTTCGAAAAATATCGTTCTTCACTTACCAAAGTGATTAAAACTTGCCTGCACTGAGATATATGGTTTTTATGTTAGTGTTCGAACAAAAATCATAGTGTTACGACCCTGGCGATCAATCCCAGCTACCTGCGACGGAAGTAAATAAACCATATTTCTTGGAATAGTAATTAGGTGATTCGACGGCTATTGAGATGACTCGAGAAGATTATCGACCTGTTCACGATATTTCGAGTGGAATCTAGACGTTTTATTAGGTAATATAAATAGATGTTGTTAGGGACAGGAAAGAAGTCTTTATTCGGAAGCGTTATAATAACGATCGAAGAAGTGTTGTGAATCGGAAGTGTTTAGTACGAGTATTGTAATTATTGTATAGTAGTGTTCAGAATAAATCGTTTCAAGTGTTCTACCGAGTGTTAAATTATTACGGACCCAGAGTAAAATCGTAACAGTGGTGTCAGAAGTGTGGATTTTTCGAGGACATTTGAAAACATATGGTGAATACAAGGAGTACGTCATACGACGCGATGGAAGATATTTTGAAATTTATGCAAAATCAGTTCGCGGAACAAGAGGAACGACGACAGAAAGAAAAACAAGAGGAGGAGAAACGTCGTCGAGAGGAAAAAATTAGAAGAAGAGCAACGTCGTCAAGAAGAGTTACAGAAAATTCTAGAGCATCAAGAAAAAGAACGAGAACATCAGAAAATCTTCTTCGAACAAATTCTGCATAAAACTGATGTGCAAATAGATGAGTTGAAGACAGATTTCACCAAAATTGACGACAAGCTTAACCAGGAAGTTTCAAGAATAGATTTCATGTTCGATACAATCAAAAGAGATGTAGCGAATCAGATCGCCTCGCTACGAGGTCAAGATCGTCGTGACAGGGTTGCCACATCGGGTTCTTCCGTGAAACCACTAACTTTTGATGGACAGTCGCCTTGGTCTATGTATCGCCGACAATTTGAGGCTGCAGCAAGTGCAAATGGGTGGAGTGACGAGGAAAAAGCTACTGCACTCATTGTAGCTCTGAGAGGACCAGCTTTGGGGATGTTACAGTCGATCCCAGTGGAACAACAAAACCACTTCGGAGATTTAGTGGCTGCGCTAGAACTCAGGTATGGAGACCAACATCGAGAACAGCTTTACCGGGCTCAGATGAAAAATCGTGTGCAAAAGTCTGGAGAGAGCCTACAGGAGTTCGAAGCAGATGTGAGAAGACTGACTCAATTAGCGTACCCAGAGGCACCAGAGAACTTCAAAGAACAACTGGCGGTGCAGGTATTCATCGACGGGCTGAGAGACTCAGAAATACAGAAGAC